CCCCAAAACCCCAAAACCCCAAAACCCCAAAACCCCAAAACCCCTTTTATTTGTTCATTTATTGAATAATTTTAAGTTAAATACCTCACACGCAGCCAAAGCTGTTGAGTGACGAGCACATAAAGGATTATGAAAGATTACTAGGATTTTATGTGCTTACAGAATGATAAGGGGAATTTTGGAAACTGGTTGGGGCTTCGGGGTTGGATAGGGTAGTAAAGGAGAAGAAAGAGATTGATGAGGATGTAAATAGTGGGGTCGATGAGTGAATGCCAGGGGAGAATATGTTGGCAAACCAGGCTAATTCGATCAATGAAAGTTTTAAAATTAATTAAAGAAGCCTGAGCGAATGAGAAGGTCATGAGAATTCAAGGTAGTGGTTAATAAGCCTTCTTGAGGAATTTTAGTAAGCTGAAAGATAGGAATAAAAATCAAATGTTGATCACTCTTAGTGCTGTCAAGATAATGTCAGTATACAATCTGACGGATTCTACTAAAAATAGTGAAAGAAGCAGCACTGAGCGTGGTGCTCCAAAAAGAAAGGGTATATCCTCAGACTTAAACATAAAATTAAACCCAATTCCAAAATCAGGGAACTCGATGCTAAATACTTCATGTAACAATAACTCTATCTCTTCTCTGAAACTAAGTGAGAAGAATTGTCAGACTGATTTAATAAATCAAACTAAATGCGACCCTGTTTATTCATCTCTCTTGCGATCGGAGTCATACTATAAATTCTAATAAAGAACAGACAATTCAGAAATGTAGATCTTTAAAATGATATCTTCAACTGGGAGGAAGCAAAAAGAGACCCCCAAGTATCCAAGAGAATATTTCAGAATACTCCTTTTAAGAACATTAAACTGTCTTCTCGGAAGTATCAATACAAAGGAACTTCTGGGCTTTCAAATCTAGAACATGAAAAATTCGGAGGAAAATGAAGATTCGCTGAGAAATCTAGAGATATGAACCGCAAAGAGAAAGTCTGTGATAAAGTCTCCAGCTTAGCAAGGAACAATGAGGATTCCAAACAGTTCGTGATGCCATCCTCAGCTATATTGACAACTCAAATACTGAATATGGAGCTTATGAATGTCGAAAATTAAGGTTACTCAACTCAATTGATGAAAATAAAGATCTTGATCTATTGAAGAATAAATTCAGGTTTGTTCCTTTATAATTTTGTAGAGAATCTCAGCATAAGAGGAAAAGAGAAGCCTCACAAATAATGAACAAGGGATTTTAGGGAAATTAATGGAAGTCAAAATTCTTTAGACTTACATTTCAAAAATAAACCTCAGATAGTTCCAGAACAAGAGCCTAGTATTGAAGAAAAAGTGCCAGCAACATTCCAAAAGCTCGGAGGTAAAAATGATGATGCACAGAAATTTCAAGTGTACTTATCAGCAGAGTGTAATATTTGTTCCCGGGTGGAGAATATTTGTGATAAAAATCAAGGAATTAATACAGAAGCAATGAAGCCATTATCTATAAAACCAAAAGAGTATGCTTCTATATTCAAGACCAAGAACGTAAGTACTATTTTCAGTAGTTTAAATTCTATTTTCAACTAACTTTTCAATAGATTAATACCTCAAAGCAGGGATGTAAGAAGCCTACAATCATCACTACTGAGAAAAGAAGGCGTCTTGTGCAGTATAAGTGTAAAACTCAGAAAAAATTAGAGTTTACCTTTATCCAAAGAACTTATCTCAATAATTTTTCAACTTTTTATCTCTCAAATGGGGTTTTGGGGTTTTGGGGTTTTGGGGTTTTGGGG